GTTGTATCATCTGAACCACCGGAAACCATCGCCACCTACCTAGAGAGTTTCAAGCCAGCCTGGCCTATGAAGTGAGACCCTATCTCACAAAGTAAGAAGAACCACACTCATAAATCATCTTCTGTTCTTAAAAACAGTTCAAGAAGGCCATTATTTAAGTACTTTTAAAACTTAAGTGAATTATCTTCCAGGAACTACAATACCATTTGCTTAGCACTACACTCATTGCATGTATTAATGATACATTAAAATCCTTCAGGGTTGGCAAGATGGCTCAGCAAGAATCTAGCCTGACAACGGGAGTTTGATCACACATGGCGGAAGGAGAGCCCTAACTCCTGCAAGAGGACCTTTGACTTCCACGTGCATACCTTAGTAGGCAGGTGCCCACACACATATAACACCTAAAATGTAATTTAAAAATTAGGCCTCGACTGGTCACAAGGAAACACAGAAGGGGAAAGCCTCCAGTTCTACACCTTTGCCTTTAAACTTGCAGATTCTGCTTCTTTTGGAGGTCTGTATTTAAACATAAGGCAGGGCTGTCTCCTTAGCCCGGAATTTGCAATGTAAGCTAGACTGTGTATCAGTGAGCCCCAGGGATCGGCCTGTCTCAGCTGCCTTAGCACTTGATTCTTTTAAAAAGATTTATTTTTATTTTAATATCTATATTTGATTTTTAATATGCCTTTGAGTATCTTTTCATGTTTAATATGTATATTCATGTGTCTGTGTGAGCGTATGTACACATAAATGCAGTTGCTGACAGAGGCCAAAAGAGGATGTCAGGTCCCCCGGACCTGGGGTTATGGATGTTTGAGAGCTGCTCGATCTGTGTAGGGGAACCAAGCTCGGGTCCTCCATAAGAACAGTAAGCATTCCTAACCTCGGAAGCACAGAGTCATCTCTCCAGCCCCACACCAGCTTCTTCTCCTGCACGCCATGTGGTTTCTGGGGCTGGAACTTAGACCCTCATGCTTGCAAGGCAGGTATGTTGTAACTAAGTCATCTTCCCAACCTAGATGTCCAACCTTTTGACACTGTAATATGTTGTTATCTGCAAATACGTCAGGCTTCATGCATACCCATCCTTGGGTACATGTGACCTTAGGCTGAAGGAAGGACAGGCTAGTAAGTGTCACCTGGGACCCCATTATGATTACCTGACAGGGAGATGTGGTTTGTTGCATCTGAGCAAGATCCCCCAAACCACATTCTACCACATACTCACTAGTCTAGGAGAAGATCTCAATTCAAAGCCTGAAACATGGCTATGGCACCCACTGAATGCAAACAGCTTTCACACCATCCCAAAGTCAGAGCATCAGCAGGATGAACCCCTAAAGCCAGGACTCGGTGTTACCTAAGGGTACCTAGAAAGACAGTTTCTCACAGCAGCAGTGACTGAGCACTTAGACCTAAAACACATTGTCTCCTTCAGAAGGGCACATGATCACTGGCTTCGTTCAGAATCATCCTAAAACTGTTACACACACACACCTCCAATCTCATTCTGACTCCCAGGTCTCTCTGAACTAAGAGCAAAGAAAGGCTTTGATCTGTGTTCTGTTCGTTTCTATGGGGCAAGAACGGGAATTGTTATAAGGATATTACTGCCATCTCTTTTCTATCAAGTCCAGTTACCTCTACTGCCTCTCAATGTGGGGTCCCTCCCAGGACAGCCAGGGCCCCTCCACTTAGTGCTATCTATTTTTAAAGACCCAGAGTCTCACTCAATTCAAAACTTCCTGCATTTTTTTTTAATCCAAATATGGTTTATGACACTGGGCCAGTTCATCAAAGCCACTCAAGGCTGCTGATAGTCAGCATGACAATGGCCTTCACTGGCCTTCAATTTTGCATTTTCTTTCCAAATTCCCATTGGTTCTTACCTTAGAGAATAAAAATGTCTCCACTAGGCCTGGTTTGATAGCTAGTTTTCAAATACAGCCCAGGACCACTTGATTAGGGATGTTGCCTTCAGTGGAATGGGGCTTCCTATATCAATTAGCAGTCAAGACACTTGACCTGGGCAGTTTGTCAATTGAGGAGTTTCACTCATCTGACTCTAGGCTGTGTCAAGCTAACAGTTAAAGAAAACTAGAACAGCCCGTTTCAAAGTAAGAGATAGATGTTGCCTGAGGAATAACACCCAAGTTATCCCTAGCCCCCACAATCGGGTTCGTAACACACACACACACACACACACACACAAGATGGAGTCTAGTTGGAGATCTTCACATAACTCAGGATTTGTCTTCAAAGAAGAGTCAAGGTATGTCATCTTAGGTATACAACAATTTCTCAGGCTGGAGAGATTGCTCAGTGGTTAAGAGCTCTTAACTGACTGCTCTTCTAGAGGTCCTGAGTTCAATTCCCAGCAACCACATGGTGGCTCACAACCATCTGTAATGGGATCTGATGCCCTCTTCTGGTGTGTCTGAAGACAGCTACAGTGTACTTACATATATAAAATAAATCTTAAAAAAAAAAAAAAGTTTCTCCCCTCTCCCTTTCGGCATCCTGGCCATGAGGTGAGTAGGCTTCTCCTATAACCTGCTACCATAGTACACTGTCTCCCCATAGGCCAAACCAACAGGGCCGACAAATCATGAGCGAATGCCTCCAAAGCTGTCCAAATAAGTCTTCTTCTCATAAGCAGGTGCATCACAGGCATATCTTACATTGACAAATTGTTGTCACCCTATGTCAGCAGAGACAGGACTTGGTAACATGGTAGAGGAAGAGGGTGATCGAGTCTGCCAATTCAAGGAGGCCAACTATATTCCTACTTGGGGCTATCATGTGTGGAAAGGCCATGTGCCACACCTACCGAAGACTATTTAAAGGATGATAAGAAACGTAAAGGCATCCATGATGTGGATTTCAAGTTGTAAATGTCAGTGACGGCAGAGTCTGCTGCTTATGGATCTCCTCCAACACCAAGCTGACAACAGCCCAAACCAGCGGCTCTGGGGGAGGCTGACAGACAGCTGCTCTTTCAGTAGTCTTGTTTGGTAGAGCCAGGAGAGCCCTTGAAAGGTGACTAACTATGGCATGCCAAAGTTGGAGGGGAGGGTGTGTGTGACAACTTTAGGTGGTAGAAAGACACGTGCCAGGAGTCCTACATGACGCCAACACACCGCCTGTTTCATGAAGGCTGTCAAACCCACACAGAAAAGAGATCAGGAGAGATGTATGGAGACTGCCAGAAAAACACACACACATGCACACACACACACAGTATACAGAATACAAAACAGACAAGGTTTCATGTAGCCCAGGCTGTCCTCAAACTCACGAAGTAAGTTTGAACTTGTAGTGGAGGGCAGAGACAATATGCCTTCCCCAAGGCCAGCCTGCTGCTGAGAGCTGCCATCCTTGGCAACCTCTGGAGAACACTGCCTACCAGATACCACTAAACCAGCTTCCTGGAGAAGGAACCCTGCAGAGAGCTTGTTCAGTTGCCCAGTTCCTACAACGACTCTCATTCTCATTAAGCAGGTTGTGGGCATTCAGCATGCTCGCTGTATTTTAGACAAAAAGAAAATTAAAAATTCCACATCCTTAGAGATTCAAAGCGCCTTTGAGTTTCCAAAGGAGACGTTTCCTATTCCCCTGAATTCACCCAGAGGGATAGACTCTCAAGGTGACAGCTAGACAGAAACCACAGATAAAAGTCACATGGTCACGTGACTTTTCAGTGCTAACTTTAATGCTGTTATTCACAGTAAGTCATTCTGAGGGCAAAGCCTGGGTGGTTTTGCTACTATGATCTGGTTAGAGTCTGAGTGTATTCTAAGATCCACATACATAACAGAAATAAGAATTAGAAATGTTTAATGTTGCGTTGTGTTGACCCTGACACTCAAAATCTCAGCCTTTGAAGCCTACATGCTTACACCAAGTGTACTAAGATAATGCTCAGGGCATATGAAGCACCACAGGGGATCAGACACTTGAAAGACATACTCAGCAAACTGTTTTCTCTACAAAATAGACACACTATGGGGGGCAAGGAAATGAACTCCTTCAGCAAGGGTTCCTCATATACCCAGGGATCAGAGTGAAGAGACTTTAGCCAGCCCCAACATGGCTAACACAGTTCTGGGATGCCTTACCCTTCTCCCCCAATTCCCTCTGCCTTGTTTTTAATTAAATGTCATTAAAAAGCCATTAGATCAAATTCCTAGAGCTAGCCACCAAGGTCTATTCCCTTACTTGGCCACTTCCTCCTCCTGAGGCTACCTAGGTCTAGCAATCAAAGTACTGAAGTCCAGCAATCAAAATTCCCCTTTGATTCGCCTAATTAACATGCCCAATTAAAATTAAACACCTCATCCTAACATAGCGCTTACCCCTTTACCTTTAGAAACATCCATTCTCCTGTGGGCCACATCTGTCTCCTCTTTATCCAGAGGCAGCCCTTTGTCCCACTCAAGAACAAATATCCCTGCCCATTTTCTCTTGTTCCCTTTCCCTTCTCCTCTGTCTCCTCCCTTTGTCTCTTATTCCCAGCCCTCTGTCCTTCTGAGGGAAATAAATCCCCTTTGTGCTGAGAACTTCATCTGGGGATCTTGAGTTGATACCAATCACTTTACACAGAGATTATTTGATTATTCTGTGTATGCGTGTTTGTGTTTGATGTATGTACATGTATGTGTACTTCTTTTTGAGATAGGATTTCATGTAGCTTAGGCTAGCCTCAAAACCTATTTATAGCCAAAAATGACTGAACTTCTGATCTGCCTACCTCCTCCTTCTGAGTGCTGGACTTACAGGAACACTATAACCACTACATATGGTTTTATACAATGCAAGGGACAAAACCCAAGGCTCTGTGAATGCCAGGTAAGCACTCCACTAACTTGGCGACATCCCAATGCAGTGTCTGCAAATGCTGATATTTCCAAAAGATAAGACCCGACTCAAATTCTTGGTCCTCTCTCTACTGTGACCTTTGTTCAGGCAGGATGCATATCTGCTGACACAGTACTTACATGGTCTAACGGACCCTCCTCCAAAGTCCACTTTAGGGTAGGAATCACTCCTGAAAGAAAAAAAGACAAAGACAGCTTTAAGTTTCCCTGTTGAAGGTCATGAGGTATCGTGTAGAGAGGCTGTCAAAGAGTTTGTCCAACGTGCTTCTGAGTTTTGGAACTCAGAAGCCTAAGAGGGAGAAGTTTTCTTCCTCAAAGGCATTAAAAAACAAAGGTTAGGGGACAGCTCAGCAGGCAAAAACTGTTCCTCAAAAGCATGAGGACACACCCTTCATCTAGAACCCATGGGCAAAGCCAGGAGTGGTGGTGGGCACTTCTAACCCCAGCTATGGCAAAGACAGGAGTTGGAGACAGGCGGATCCCTAGGGCTTGCTAGATGGCCTGCCCAGCCTTTTGGGTGAAGTTCCAGGCCAATAAAAGACTCTGCCTCAAAAAAAAAAAAAAAAAAAAAAAGCAGCCAGTGCCTGAGTTGGCCAGAAACAAAGCAACTCTTACTTAAGAAAGTCTTAACTAAGACCTCTTAACACCAGGTCTCAGCAGGCACTAAAGCCTTTTACCAACTCTAAGTCCACATTAACACATTAACATACATGGCTCTAAAAACACAATGAAACAAGCTCATAGTGGCTCTGTTACAAAGTGAGAGGAGTTGGCAAGAGGACAGAAAGACAACCCAACCCCAAGCCTGTCCCTTCAAATTATGCCCCTACAACATATTACTTGTAGCTGCCTCACCTTGAAGCATTAAAAATGTCCGCTTTAGAGGCTAGAGAGATGACTCAGTGATTAAGAGAGACTGCTGCTCCTCCAGTGGACCTGGATTCCATTACTACCACCCACATTTGGCAGCTCACACCCACCCCTAACTCCAGCTCAGGTTGACCTGACACCCTCCTGTGGTCTCCTCAGAAAATGTAGTCACCTGCGCAAACACACACATAGGCATACACACACATACATAAATTTTAAATGAAAGAAAGAATTCCATCTTAGAAACATGTCTAATAATATTGCATGCTTCTGGTCTGGCTAAAAATTTTAAGGAGGATCTGGAGGCTATAGCTCAGCAAAGCACATACAAGAAGCTCTACACTTGACACTGGATCCCAGCACTGCATGCAATGGAACTGGCGGTGTGTGCCTATAAACCCAGCACAAAGAGAATGTGAGACCAACCTGGGCTACATGAGACCCTGAATGCCCCTACCTACCTACCCAAATCAGGTGGGAGAATGAAAACATGACTCAAACACATCCCCCCCAAGGGTCTGTCTGTCTGTGTCTCTGTCTGTCTGTCTCTCTCTCTGTCTCTCTCTGTGTCTCTGTCTCTGTCTCTCTCTGCCTCTGCCTCTCTCTCTCTCTCTCTCTCTCTCTCTCTCTCTCTCTCTCTCTCTCACACACACACACACACACACACACACACACACACACACAAAACCAACCAACCAACCAACCAACCAACCAACCAACCAACCAAAACAAAAAAAGAAAACAAAACTGGTTCTGCTAGCCGAGAGATGTCTCCTCCAAGAATTATTAAACAGCCAAGGCTTCTCTAGGAGGGAAAGAAGAGAAATGATCAGATCTTACTCCTTACACACACGCTCAAATCAACTGGTTAAGTCTTCTAAACCTAATCAACTCATCCTAAAGACGTCATGGAAAAGTGTGCTATAAAATAGGTTGACTATTTTTTTATCCACACAGGGACAATTTCCTCTTTCTAAAAACCATGGCATAGGATAATTTACAGTGTCAACATCTTAATCCCTGTGAGGGAACTGTAAGCAATATCAGAGTGGGGTGGGGTGAAACCTCAATTGTTTCAGATCCACTGTCTCTAGAAAGCAGTCAGGACTCAGTAAATGCTTACTGATGGGTGAGGCCGAATCCACGCCAAGGACTGTGTGGACCCTTTTCAGGTGGGCCTCTATCTGAGACAACTCTGAGTGAGGTGAAGGAAAGAATTCTGAGAAAAGATTACACTAAAGAACAAAGCTACTAATTCTCAGGATTCTAGTTAGATGGAGTTGCTGAGGATGTGTGGGGAGGTGAGGTACTATTTATGTGGGTATGTACATATGTCCCTGAGCATACAGAGAGGGGGTCAGTGTAAAGTCTCCTTCTCAATTTCTCTCCACATTACTTTTTAAAGATTTATTATTTTTATTTCATGTATGTGAGTGTTTCGTGTGTGGTGTGTATATATTTTACATGTATATATATCACATGCATGCCTGGTGCCAGATAAGGCCAAAAGAGGGTACTAGATGCCCTGAAACTGGAGTTACTGATGGCTGTAAGTGTCTATGCAGGTGCTAGGAATCAAACCAGGGTCCTCTGTGAGAGCAGCAAATAATCTTAACCACTGAGCCATCTCTCCAGCCTCTGCCCTACTCTTTTAAAATAGGGTTTCTCATGAAACTAGGAGCTCACCAACTTGGCTAGGCTGGTCAGCCAGTGAACTCCAGGGATCCTCCTGTCTCTGTCTCCCCCAGTGATAGAGTGACAGATGCATGCCCCTGCACCTGGCTTTTTATATAGGTGTTGGGGATCCAAACATAGATTCCCATGTTTAAGCAACAAGCCCTTTATGGGATGAGCCATTTCCCCAGTAGCCTCAAGTAATTATATTTTCTAGAGAAAATTCATCAAAATGTTGTCACATCATCAAAATTATGTCACATGAGCAAGAGGTATAGGTCAACTATGAATTACACCAATGGTAAAACTGTCACATTCAAAGAACTGTGAGTGACATGGACACTTCTAATTGATTTTTGATTACATGTATATGTGTGAGTATGTGCACTACATGCATGCTGGTACCAATGGAGGCCAGAAGAGGGCGTCAGATCCTCAAAATCATATGGATGCTGGACGCCAAACCCATGTCCTTAACAAGAGCTGTATGTGCTGTTAACCACTGAGCCATCTACACCCCAGACAACATTAAACCTTCACTCCCTCAAGAGCTTTCAAGCCTTGACTACTTTTCTAAAGCAACAGCCAGATAGTTAAGAAGTACCTTAAATATCCCAACAAGTTACTTTGCAAGTCATGAAAGAAACACTGGCTCTGCGTTCAGTGAGAAGCTGAAGAGCTGTTTACTTTCACCCTTGCCAATGCTTTAATGGTCAAGTAATCTTAAATCTCATTTCCCACAGAGCCAAGTATATAACCCTAACCATTTCAGACCTGCCGTCATCTCCTACCAACCAAGCTACGTCTCCAGTCCTGGACTTTCCTGGTTCTTAATTACACCTAAACTGCAAAACCATTCCCAGGGGTCATTTGGTGACATTTTATAGCCATTCCTAGGTCTGTCTGTAAAGAAAATGATAGAGGAGGTCATGTCCCCTTCCTACATTTCAAAACTGCCCATGATGTCATAGTTTCTATCAAGCCGACATCTACATGTAGGTGGGCTCTCCATTTTGTCCTGGACTTACCCACTGATGTCCCACACATACAGGCTCTCATGTTGCCCAGGCTGACCTCAAACTCCATACACAGCTAAGGATAATCTTGAACTTCTGATTCTCCTACCTCCACCTCCAGAATGCAAAGATTAAGGCATGTACCATGTGGTTTATGTGGAGCTTGACATGAACCCAAGGCTTTGTGCATGAAAGGCAAGTGCACTACCAACTGAGCTATGTCCCCAGACCTAGATCTTCCCCTTAGTTACATCTAAACTACGAAAGCATTAACAGAGGTCATGAGAGCAGGATTTCATCATGAAAGAAGAACAGGCTGCATCCTCAGAGGAAGGCAGTGAACAACACAGACAAGACTGAAATCACAAGTTTAAGCAAAACATATCTCTTTTGTTTTCTACTTTGCATAGAGCCATTACAAGACCTACCAACCAAATAGTCCACCCAGGAAGTAATGTGCTCCACAGCAGCACTCTGTGGTGAGTCTGCACCAGGGTTTCTTGTCCATTCCCAGCCTTCACCCAGAATAGCTCAAAGGTGTACCATGATGAGCCAAACAAAGCACCTGAGACCTCAACATGCTGGGGACTGTGCCCTGTCCACTTTCATATCCCAGGTCCTTTCTACACTAGATCCAGGACTATCTATACCATCTCAGGCCTGAATACACATCCCCAAGCCCACCCACACTATCCCCAGGGCCATGTGCACCATCCCCAGCCTATCTATTTCATTCTCAGGTCTACCTATACCCATCCCCACTCAGGATCTGATGGCTCAGGAAGGTGGAAGTTGGTTCTAGACTCCTGTGTCTCTCTTCCTCTAACCCTTCATGTGTTTTGGGTCTGTACTGCCAATTGGACCTCCTCTCAGGGTTTACCCTCAGGCAGCTTTTGCATTTATTCCCTATAGGGGATGTCCCTCACATCACCATCAGGTGTAACACAGCACAGGCTCCCTGTTCCATCTTCCACTTCAACAGCAAGGACAGGGGTGGCTAACTAGAACCACCAAAGCTGCCATGTATGTTCATTTAGTAGTTGCAGGAGTCTGTGGCTCTAGCTAAAGTACCTTCATGCCTATAAAGATCTGAAGCAGTAAGACCACCTAGTAGCATCCATGGAGAGTAAGTTATAGACATGTATGAGCTATAAGGCACTTGATCATCCTTTTCAAGAATCAAGTGGTCATCCAATCAACGTTAGATGGAAAAGCTAAAGTCATTACAAGTGAAATTCTGTCTAATCACATAGGGTAAGAATTGCCTTTCATTTGGGTTGTGTATAAAGGTATATGTATCTTTATATGCACACATGCACATGTGTGTGTGTGTGTGTGTGTGTGTACAGTGTGTATATGCATGTGCACATGCTTGCAGAAGCCTGAGAAAAACTTGAGGTTCTCGTTCCTCAGTACCTTGTCAACCCCAGGTTTGTGACAGGATCTATTCTCTCTCGCTGTCCAGAACACACTAAGTAGGATTGGCTGGCTGGCTACCCAGCGAGCTCCAGAGATTCACCTGTCTCCATCTCCCAGCAGTGGCTTACATGTGTGTACCACCAACCAGGCTAGAGTCGTCTTTGCCATTAGAATGTACAAGTTAACTTCAG